GAGAGAGAGAGAGAGAGGGGGGGGGAGAGAAACTAGTCTACAAACACAACTGGGAGCTGTCACGAGCCTGAACTATGGTAAAATCTCAGCAAAACGGTGCGTGCAGGCCGCAACAAAGTTAACTTTGCTGTCAATGAGTGTCAAGCAAGGGCCGCAATGTTATCTGCGGACCTCGAGTTTGAGATCTCTGCCGAACACCAACATCGGAGCAAGACAATTGGTCGCTTTTAAGCACATTAAGGGGGCTATCCCACCAAAAAATGCTGTTTTGAGAAAATCGAAGGCAAAGTTTTTGCCCCTTGTTCAGTTTTTTTTAAAAACAAGGAGAGTTTTCTCTACAACCAAACAAATTACACTCCAACGAAACCAAACTTCTCCTATAGGTAGAGAAATGCCCTTTTTTGTGTACGTCAAGATTTCTGGAAACCCCCGAAATCTGTGTTAGCCCGCTTGTCCTTAAAAGCGACCAATTAGTATTAGGAAGCAGTACAATTTTTGAAGATTTGGATAAGGGGGAAGGAATGGTGTATACGAAGAAGAAGAAGAGAAGATGATAATTTAAAACAGAACAACTTTTCAGAGACAAAAATATATTAATCATAGAGGGTGGCAAGGGAAACAACTTAAGTACAAATTGTCGTTTACAAAACAATGCTCTTAGAGGTTACAAAAGCCATTGGCCTCACCCGGATGTCAACCACTTTTGCGTCCCCGGTTTTTCTTCCTGATCGAATGGTCCAGCTTTTAAATTGTGCTAAAGAAAATTTGTTGAAGAAATTGTGGTATACATAATAGTTGACTTCGTCTGGTTGAGGGCTTTGACACGCAGCCTGAAGACAATAACAAAGTCAGGAAGTATGTGTATAAGAGCGTTTCTGAGGGATCGCTCAATGATTCTACTAACGCTAAGGACCTCCTTTTGAGTTGTACCTTTAGGAGATACTTGGGTTCACTTGCGATGTTGAGCCCACGAGCTACAGCTGAGATGCCACTGGTGATTGTACGGCTCTTAATATGGTAAAAACATCCATCACTGTACGGTATTATTCTGACATAGGTTTTGGCAAGGGATCGTACGTAGTCTACATTGCAAGATGAAAATTCATCTGAAGTCAGCCCACCTTCCTCCTAATGCCAGACTTTACATTTTAGTCATGAAGACAGTAACGTTAGGCACAGAAAGCTTCAAAAGTAAAGGCATCCATCACTATGGATCTACAGTATTTTTTGCCATAAGTCTTGGTAAGGGGGTCTTACGTAGTCTACGATACAAGATGAAAATCCATCTGAATGTCCGTTCACCTTCCTCCTCATGCCAGATACATGTATAACATTTCCGGTCCCAAGTTGTCATATTGTAGAGAGTAAAGTTATGCACAGCAAGCTTTTGTTCTATAGTACAGAGCAGAGGCCTTGGGCATGGGACACAACACGACGCATTGAAGATCCATGCAGACGACACATTGAAGATCCATACAGACGACGCCCACTCTCTCTGTCCGATGGTTCTTTTGTTTGGGTCTCCGGGGCTGTCTTTTTGTTCATTCTTGTTTTCTCTTGCGTTGCTGACTTTTTACTTTCTTTGCGAACCACCCCACCCCAACGTGTGGCAAGAAAGCCTAAAATAAAAAAATAAGTCCAGTCAAAAGAGGTTATAATAGTACTAGAGGTCGCAGGTGTGACGTCACCCACGTAAATTCACTATGGCTGAGCGGGGCCCACTCAGCTCGCTTTGTCGCCATTTTTGAAAGGATTAAAAACAGCGCTGTCACGTTGCGCGTCCCTCACAACGCCTAGATCTTCATGTCGTTTGAAGCTCAGTTCAGTTTTATTTTTATTTTTCTTTCTGTTTGCTGATGTTGTTTAATCATATAACATACACGTATACACAATACTGCACCTGCTAACCGATTGTGGGAAACATAAATGCACTTAAATACGGGCTGCAACTGAACAGAGAGATATAATTATGAGGTATCGTTTGCTTTTCCTGGGTGGGGTGGGGGAGGGGCGGAGGGAGACAGAGTGAGTGATTGAGTTTGTTAAAAAAAAAGTACAATTTCATACTTACAAAATGGATTGTCTACACTCTTCTTCTACTGATGCAAAGCCTATGTCTTCATAGAGTATGAAGAGGGTTAAGACTGAGTTAATTATTTAATATATTAATTCGTTATTGTCTCAAAATGAGCAATTAATAGCAGGCTGGGATACTGTTCACCACTCATTGTATGGATCCTGTACGCACCCCCAAAAAGCGTTGTTTAATATCGGGCACAATAATTATATAGGCCTACTGGCAACATTTTGAAATGCAACACCAGCCGGTTTATCTTAAACTTTCACAATATTTTCT